CCCCAGCAACTTTCCCTGTTAAAATACACAAGATTATCTCAGTCAGACCATTACAAACAAAATAATTACTGTGGCAGGACATAGAAATTATATTAAGTGGGGTTAAGGGGAGTGAGGCAGAGGAAACACTCCTTTTTTTAAATTCTGGCTCCCAAAACTTCTTTCAGTCCATTTGAATTTCTCTGCCTTGATTAGACCCTACAACCCAACATTTTGTGTATTCTTATTGACCAAAAGTATGGACTAGACTTAGCTACCTTGATCTGTTTACTGTTGTAGGCAGACAGGAAATATGAAGGAACTTCTAAAAGTTCAGGAAAAAATTCCATGATCTTTTCACTCCATTTTTCCATGAACTTTTTGAAGCTCCCTTGTATTAGTTTAAGCTGGAGTCAAGAATTTACAGCTGTAAGAAAAATAAACCCATGGGCGAGAAAGAAACTGGATGAAAGGGATGATTCCTCTGAGAAAGTCCTTGTGGGGGGTTTCTCTCCCTGGTGTCCGTAGGATAGGCAAGGAGATCTTAACAATTCAGAGTCCACATTCCAAATGACATATTTGCAGTTGTCAATTGTTAATATTTTTTAAATTATTAATTTGGTAAACTGCTAAGGCTATAGCAAAAGACTCAGTGGACAGAAGAATAAAAGGGGTGATAAAACTTCTCTCATCCCTCCTCCTCCACCCCCAGAGATCAGTTATTAAAATAACTCTATGTTCACCATATGTATAGTCATTTACCGTGACAAATGGGAATAATGTACTACAGCTCATAATACTGATCTCTCCAGCAATTTGAGAAAAACTCATAGCTGACAGCTACACTTACCACCTAAAACTATTTAATCACAACAAATCCTCAAGGAAAATATTCTGTTTAAAATAAATACTCTTTAAAGGCTTTCTAGAAAGGCAAAGGACACTTTTCAGAATGCTGAAGAAGAAATCCACTCACTCTCCTTCCTGCTTTTGAGAAAATGCTTAATCCTATCAGATGGTTTTTTTTTTTCCCTGTCGAATGCTTCTCTTAGTGCAGCTTAAGATGGTGTTTTAAATTTTCAAAATTCCATTGACAAAACAAAATTCCTGTTTCCCCTAAAAATGGACTCAAATTGATGTTAGAAACTAGCACAGATGTTCGAAATTCCATCCTCTTTCCAAAAAAGGACCAAGTAGTGTGTGAGGTAATGTGCCTTATTGGCAAGTCCATATGTCCTTCGGATTCTAGATGCAGTTCTTAGCATGCCCATCAAAAGCTGTAGGTGGACACCACCTATAACTCCCTGACTTACAGGTACACGCAGAACCTTCTAAATGCAGGATGTATGTAAAAAATTACCAGAGAAATCAGAATTGCTACTAGTAACACTGTCTAAACTGAGTCCAGAAGCACTTTGCTCTGAATACACAGAGAGAAGACTATAAACTTTACCACCAAAGCTGGTTTCTGTTTTCTTAAAACACACAAACTGTTATACAAGTGACAATAGCTACCAAATGTTAAACCTAAAATTGTTTTATTTTTGTAATTGTAATGTATTCATCACTTATTAAGAAAAGACAATCTAGAAAGGGAAAAGTAAGCCATCTATACTGACATAAAACATGCATGAACCAGAGATACTTTGCTGCAAATAAAATAATTTTCACATTCATGAAGATGTGTGTGCTTGTTCAGTTACTTTTTTTGTCACGATGGTAACACATGTTTAATCACGTATGACAAATGACTGCAACATGTTACAGATTTGTATGGCTGTATATTCTGAGGGTTTTTAAATTTACAACCTAAAATGTAAATTTCTGATGTTCACTAAGGTTAATAAATAACTTTTTATAAATCAAGAATTAAGTCTAATTTTAAAGTATACAATGATTTGGGTCATAAGTATTGTGACTATTTGAGAAGATAAATTTTCATAATCTATTCACTGACATATGTTATTTTTTTCTGACAGAATGGAAAACATATATTTTAAATCCTCAAATTATTCTGATTTCATTTACTCATCCTAAGACTTCTCTTAAGATGTTGTTTATATTTCTTGTATCCTAAATGGCTTAAATAGTACTTTAAATTCCTCCACAATGAACAAATAAAGAGAATGCACATTTGAAAAAAAGATATTATAAGATATTAATTAGTTAACTGTGTCCCTGACGTAACTGATAGTCCTTACAGGTGATGTTAATATGGGCCAAAGAAGAGAAGTGAATGAGAATAAAAAGGACATGGAAGTTTCTTAACTAAGCTAAGAATGCAGTAATGAGAAAACGGACTATACCTGGTTAGAACAAAAGTACTCTGCAGAAACTGTCTTTAGATACGATCTTGTAATTAGATGGGGTTTCATAAAACAATCCCCAAAGCCAGTCTCATCGCATCTGTTTCACTGTTTAAATGGAGTATACAAAGGACATCTTAAGACCAAATATTAGGTATGTGAACAAGAATTGTGTTTTATTATGATCTTTACTATTGTTTTTCCAAAGTCGTAAATAGTACTCAAAATGAAAGCCGTCACTAATGTAAATCAGTAAACACAGACATTGAGAAGTAAAAAAAAAAAAAAAAAATCTTGTACTCCTTAAAATTACAAAGCCTTGTAACATAGAGAAATTGACTTCGCTATCATTTTGAAAATTAAAACTTCTCTTCTTACGCATTACGTACCAACCTCACTAAACAACCAGAGAAAACTCAAGTTTTCTAATAAAATTTCTTTAATATGTATCAATCTAGAGGAGCATTTCACCCAAAGCTCTAGCTTAGAAAATTCTCCAAACCAAGAGGTAGAGGATTCATTCTGCGGCTGCGAGAAGTCTCCCGCTACACTTTGTCAAAGATGGCTGAAGAAGACAGTGCCTCACAACTGCATAAAGATGGTGGCTCAAATTAAATTATGCAAACGTAGTTTCAAAATAACCTGCTCAAGTTTCAGCACATTAAGGTGGACCTGTAAAGCATGTGCAAGGGGTGAGCTTGGTTCCAGCAGAATTTTAGTGGGTACCGAGGGGAATGCAATCCCCAAATCATCCTTATAAAGTAAGACTTTGAAACTTAAGCGCACAAACTTCAAATCCCATGGGCATATTCATGGGCCTTGGACCTGCCTCTGAACACCAATCTGTCATCAATGCTAACCCAAGCACAGCCAGGAGGGCATTTCTTGAGGTCTCTCTCTCCATCCTGGACTGCCAGCAAAAGGGACCATCTTTGAAAAGCTCAGATTTATCTTCGCAAATAAAATTCCAAAGGTGGAATTTTCATATAGAGATGAACTTATTGGATAAATTATTTACTACATGAAGTCATTAAAATATACTTCCAATAGTCCATTTTCTATAAAACAGCAGTTATTTTCAATCTGGCAACATTTCATAATCAGACACCCATCTACAAAGATTTTTCTTGTCAACAAAAATTCCTAATTTTCTTCTAATAAAAAAATAAATGATTGGAAAAATAATGCAGGTTAATTACAATAATTTTCAATAAAAGCAATTTCAATAAACTTGAGTATGCTACCTAACTTCAGATCCAAAACTCAGGCTAGGTAACAAGCACATATCAGATGTTTCCCAATTAGGAACTGACCAAGTGGTTTCTAACATGGAAACTTTAGATTTAAATATTTTTACATGCTGCTTTGTATTTATATTAAGGACAAAACAAACATTATCAATACGGATGCACATTACTGCAAGCATATTTAGAAAATCTCGGCTGAAGTCATTTGGAAAGCAACAGGCACTGTACAATAATATGAAATATTTTCCATTTGAAATATTGAAAACTGTTAGTAATTGAAAGTTATATAAAATAGCCAATGGAAGCAAAAGGTTGTCATAAATGGGGATTTAATATTCCACCAGTCAAAAAAAGGGAACCATTTTGTTCTGAAATATGATACCAGCGTTCTTGGATGTCAAACTTGAAATTTCACTAGTTTTTCTTACTATTACATAAATCAATCTTCAAAACATTCCACCTTTAAGTCCTATTTATGTCCGTTTGCATCCCATCATTTCTCCTACGAGTTAATATGTTTATATAACTCCCAAGTATCATTAGAGCAGCGCTGAAAAGCCTCTCCGCTCTTCTCTCTGATCGATTTTTGCCTTTCTTGAGCGTATTTCTCTACTTTCGTCAGTTTCCCCGAAACACTCATCATTCACAATTTTCTAAACTTCTTAAACTAGTTTTTAAGTCTTCATTACAAGCGGAGTAAACCCCTTGAATATAAGACCCTTCAGACAACTAACATTCTAGGCCTTAAACTGTTGAAGGGAATCTCGAACAAAACAAAAGCATCACCATTTACTTTATGTCCCCCAACTGGGCTAAAAGTGCTCTTCCGTACCTGTTGACCTTCCTCAACCTACTCACGTGTCCGTAAGGCTGGCTCTGAAAATTCACCTGAGTCACAAAAGTAACCCTTATTGGAAATCGGCTACGTAACTGAGAACTCTTCGCAAGGGCCTTCCTGAAAACTGTCGACACTTTAAGAGCAATGCAAAATATGTTGTTTACAAACCCTCACCTCCTTTGTCACCCCAATGTCACAGATGGACTTCAGGGGCACCAGGACGGGTGATTTAGTTCGTGGCGGCATTTTACTTATACACCCTCACGCGCACACACACTCACGCACGGCTCTCCATACATCCCAGTGGCCTCTGGGGACCATAAAGATGAAACAGTCTCTGGGCCATTTCCCCCCAATCTGAGCTATTTTAGTCCAAAATACCCAGTAACTTCCCTGAAGAGAAAAGAAAGGGGATAAGAAAAAACAAAGTTATTTTCCCCAAAATCATTTGACTCCCCTCTCCCCAACCTTACAAACAGCGGGAATAAATAACACCGCCACTGTCCAGAAAACTTCAAATGCAAGAGAGACGAGCTAAGTTTAGTGGGGACAGGAGATGAAGTCACAGAAGGGGGCGTCCGGGGCAAGACCCCCGATCGCACCTCCCACGGTCTCGCTCCCTTCTCTTACTTTTGGATGATCTGGGGTAGGCCGGCTGGGGGCGGCGGCGGTGGCTGCATCCCTCGCGAGCCCGGGGGCGGCTGGGGCGCCGAAGCGCCGGGCACGCTGCGGGCATCTCTGTCTGCTGACTCCGGGCCGCTGGGGTCCACGTCCTGGCTCATGGCTTCGGCCGGCACCAGGCACTGCGACACTGGCCCCGTCTCGAGGTGGCCCTGGGACACCGGCGTTCACTGGCCGGGGTCCCCGCGCCCAGTCCCCTTGTCCTTTCCGGTGGCGCGGGGAGGAGACGCGAGGGGCGGGGAGGAGGCAGTCCCGGCGGCGCAGCCTCCGCCTCCTCCGTCGTTAGCGCTCGCGGCCTGGCCCCGCGGGGTGGGGGCTAGGGGGCGTCTCCCGGCCTGCGGAGTAGCGGGTCAGAGGGGAGCTCGGTCCGGCGGCCAGGCGCAGTGTGAGCCCTAGCCACCGCGCGCCCTAGGGCTCCAGTGTCGGACGCTCAGCCGCGCACCGCTCCGCATGAGGCTCGCCGGCCCGCTACTGCGCTCGAAGCTTCTCTCGGGAACCGGCGGCCTGGGGCTGTCCCCGGGGGCGGCGCGCGCAGCCTGGCACTGCTCCTGCCCTACTGGACAGAGCGCGCCCAGAGCGTCCGCGGGTTTCCGAGTCCTAGGTGCGCGGGACCCGCACCTTCCAGCTGCAGGAGCCCTGTCAATTCGCCCGCTGCCGGGCGCCTGGATTCCCGCGGGGCCAAAGGCCGGAACCCCCAGGACTGTGAGAGAGCTCCCCAAATGGGCAATTCCAGCTTTGGATTTCGGGGATCTCCAGAAGAAGCAGACGGGGCCGCTGTGAATTTCTGTTCAATTCTCTTTCTCTTCTCTAAAAGACCAGTCACGACCCAGAGAGCGCAAAGATAAAAATCAAGCATACTTTTAATTTTTATTTATTGACCAAACTTCAGGGGAACTGTAAAGGGTAAAAGGAAAGAGGTCGCTGGCATCGTGCCGCCTTCATCACCGCCTCTGAAGCTCAGTTTATAGCCCGGGTGCCCGTGGGCACGTGTCCATCCGCACCTGTCCACAGGTGTGCACGCACCTCCTGCGCTTTTGAAGGCTGCGGAGACACTGTAAGGCGTGGCTTAAGGTACTGTCGCACCAGTGAGGACAGAAACTTCCAAGAGCTGGACAAAGTCCATGGAGAGTGGTTATCCAGTGGAACCTAACCGTCCGTCGGGCGCGCGTGAGTTCCGAATCCTAACACAGGCAACCGGGAGAAACAGGGAAAATGTTTTGGATGCCTGGGCCAGAGCGCGCCATGGCGGACATGCCCCCCTCCCGCAGCCATGCGGAGGAAAATTCTGAAGATGAAATCTGACAACTAAATGAATTGCTTTCTGAAATCTGGTCTCTTCTCTCCCCAGACGACAGCAAAATTTTCCTTCTGCACCAGTCTCAAAAATAAAGGACGCTTTCCCTTGATTTCTGTCGTCTTTGTCTGGCTCTCTTTTCCTCTGACAGATAAATACTAGCGGTTCCTTGCATTCGTAAAGATAATCACAGTTCGCAAGCGTGAGTTTCACACAATTTCCAGGTAACGTCCCCATTTCTCATATGCAGGGGGTGGTTTGCCCAACCTTACTCACAGCTGGTAATAGACCAACTGAACAAACGTATCTTCTGGGCTGTCTGAAGGTGGTATTAGTGCATCATCATTTTTAGCTTCTATCATTAAATTCCGGGCTGTGGTTTCCAGAAACGTAATGTGTTGTTTTTTACCCCTTGACTTCTTTGGTGAAGGGAGTTTACCGTCAATTAACTTTTGTAAGTCTCCCAGAAATTAAAATGACAGTCCCCACAGGTCTCACTGAGATCTCCCTCTAAGAAGTCTCCAAAACCTTTGTGAAAACCTTTGGGTCCAAAGTCAGACGTGGTTTTGAGTGGACTGCTGCTGCTTACCACTGGGATGATTCAACCTCCCTAAATGTCAGTTACCAAACATGTCAATGAGGGATGATGAGGTCCTGAATTGCAGAGTCACTGTGGGATAAAGCACTGAACCGCAAGGTCAGTGTGAACTGCAAAGTCAATGGTTCAAACTCACCAGCAGCTTCTCAGAAATCCGATACCGGGTCACTGTGGGTTGTAACCAACTCTACGGCCCTTAACAACAGCAACAACAATCATGCACATTGAGCCCTGGTGTGTTGCTGTAGGATAAGCAACGTTGGCAGTGAGTCTACTCTGTAACAGTTTCACTGGTAAATATATAGATGGGGCTTCCAGAAGTCCATGAAAAAAACTCCATTATCCTTTAGTTCCATTTTCCACAAACTTTTTGAAGCCCCTTCATGTGCATATGGGTGGGGGACACTGTAAGGTAAACACTGTTTGACTAATGATTCAAAACCATTAGTCATCTGTGGGAGAAAGATGAGGCTTTTTGCTCCTGTAAAGATTTACAGCCTTGGAAACCCTACACAGAGTGGCTATAAGTCAGAATTTGGTCAATGGCGGTGAGTCTGGGGTTTTGTTTTGCATTATAATTACATACACACACACACATACACACTGGACTGCAAGATTGGTTTGAACCATAGGCTGGCAGTTCAAACCCAACAGCGGCTCCTCAGAAGCCTCTGAGTCAGAATTGGCTCAATGGCACTTAACAACATATTTAATTTTATGTAGACATAATTTCCTATGCTTATTTCATATCTTTTTATATCTTTATTTTTAACTGTTCCATATATACACATATACATATGTGTGTGTTTATATCTTTTGTGCAAGTTTCAAATTTTCTAAAGAAAAGAATTTGCCCACAAGATGTTTCTTCTGAAGCCCATGTCCATGATTGCAGTCTACTGTTTGCCTGTTATGTAAAAACTGAAATGTGAAAGAGAGCGGATATGGAGGAGGAAGGGAACACAAAGCAAAATCCTAAAGCTAGTTAAGGTCCTTGCAGGTAATACTGAAGAAGCATATTCATTTTAGAAGTCAAATGCTAAATGCATTAAGCAATTCCAACAAAAAATTCTTTCAAACTAGGGCTTTCTCACTTCTTTCCTGGAAGAATGAGTATGTGTGAAGACACCTAGCTGGAGCTGCAGCCATTTAAAAACTTAGATTTTGTCTACCCTGCACCCTCACCACCAGCCCCCACTCCCACCCACCCCCTACCCCACACACACACCCACACCCCCCACCCCACCCCGGGTTCCTTCCTCAGTTACAGAGGTGAGAGAGAAAGGCTGTTTAACAAAGGGGGAAGTGAGTGCTGGTAAGATCGGGTTTTTTGTTGTTGTTGTTGTTACACTCCAAAGGAGTTCCCTGTCCCACCTGACTGACAGGTAAACCACCATCAGACTCTGAGGCTATGATGCTTTGTGAATATATTAAGCATTTAACAAGAGACGATAGCAATTACTTTAATAAATTATCTTCCTTTATACCCGCAGAAACTCCATTAAGTACTACTGTTATCAACATTTTATCAGTGAGGAAGCTGAGGCTCTCATAGCTGTAAGAAGCTTCCCTAAGTGGAAGAAAGAAGAGTGAAGAATATCAAAGATTCAAGGAAACAATTAGTCCAGAGGACTAATGGATCCTGCAAACCACAGCCTCTGTTTCCCTGAGTACAGAAGAAATAGATAATGCCTGGCTACCACTCCCAATAAGGAGCTCTGCTAGCGTAGAGGTTATGAGTTGGACTGCTAACCTCAAGGTCAGCAGTTCGAAACTCAAAGTCTGCAAGGTCAGCAGTTAGAAAGTCAAGGTCAGCAGTTAGAAACTACCAGCCATTCCGCGGGAGAAAGATGAGGCTTTCTGATCTCATAAAGATTGACAGCCTTGAAAACCTCATACAGGGTCACTATGAGTCAGAACCAACTCCACGGCACACCACCACCATCACCACCAGTTGCTCTGATTGAGACCACAGAAGGTTCTGAGCAGAATGGGAGGAAAATATAGAACAAAAATCATAAAAATGACCAGACCCACTGGTCTGATAGAGACTTGATGGAACTTTCTAGACTGTGACTCTTATCTTACCTTCAAATCTGGAACTGAGCCCACCCCCAGGGATCACCCTGCAGGCTGCAGCCTAACAACAGGTAGGCCCAAGAACAATAACACCCCTGAGAAATGTAACCCACAGAATAATCAACCATAGGAGACCAAAGGCCAGCATTTGCCCATAAACAAAGCTCAGAAGACAATAGGGGCAGAAAGAACCGAAATTGTTTGTGTGGGGAGATTATTGTAGTATTGTTCATAATAGCAAAAATTGTTGTTAAGTGCCATCGAGTCGATTCCAACCCATAGAGACCCTGTATAGGGTTTACAAGGAGAAGCTGGTGAGCTTGAACCACCAACCTTGCAGTTCAAACAACTGTGCGGTCTGATGCATTAGTCCACAGCACCACACAATAGCAAAAATTAGAAACAACCAAAGTGACCAGCATGGGAGCCTGATAATCTCTGCATACAATGGAAAATTACTTGTTGTTTGTTATTATTAAGTGCCATCAAGTCAGTTCGGACTCATAGCAACCCTGTATAAGGTTTCCAAGGCGTGGGTGGTAGGTTTGAATTGCTGACTTGGCTATTAGTTATGCAATAATAGAGCAAAACCAAGAAACAACCGGAAGTGCTCAGCAATGGGAGACTGGTTACATGAACAATGGTCCCTGCATACAATGGCGTACTATTTAGCACTACTATGGAATGATTTCTGAGTATTTTTAAAAGGAAAACAAAAGTTATGCAACAGTATTGTGCTATGACTTAATTTGCATAAAATCAAAGGATAGAAGACATTTTTAGAAAGTTACACAAGTAACTATTAACAGTAAATCCTTTGGAGATTGAAGTTCCCTTACCTTTTATGACTTTTTTATATTGTTTGAATTTTGTAAATAAAAGTTTGTTGAAATATAATTTAGTGTTTATATGTGTTTTACTATGAACCTATATTTTTCTTTATTGATTGATTGTTGTTGTTATGTGCCATGGAGTCGGTTCCAACTCATAGCGACTCTGTGCAGGATTTCCGTAGCTGTAAGTCTTTATGGGAGCAGAACACCTCATAAATGAATGGTTTATTTCTTCAATTGTTGTTGTTAAGTGTCGTAGAGTTGGTTCTGACTCACAGTGACCCTGTATAGAGTTTGCAAGGAGTGGCTGGTGAGTTTGAACCACTACCCTTGCAGTTAGTAGTCCAGTGCTTATCTTACAACGCTACACCAGGACTCTACTTCTGGTATGGTACTGTGGGTTAATGTGCTGGACTGCAAAGTTGGTTTGAACCACTAGGTCGGTGGTTCAAGCTTACCAGCCACTTCTCGGAGCTGACTCAACAGCAGTTAACAACAATTAAAAATTAACGCATCAATTTCATTTTTTTTTTTAAAATCATCTGGAAGAATGAGGAAACAAGTACAGTATATTATACAGTATATTGCCCAGACTTAAATTTGACCCATTTGATACCCTAACAACCCCAATGGAGACAATTATTAGATTGGTAAATTACCAGCTGCTGTGTTGATGCAGTTACAGCCTACTAGTTTGCTGTTTATACGTAAATATTAAGCAGTCTATCATCTTTAGCTATAACATACTGACTGCTGTTAGTAACAGTAGTGATAACAGTTACCATTTCTTGAGTATTACACTGTGTCAGGCTGACTTGAGCACATAATACTCATATTTCTCATTTCAAACCCACTTTATTGGTAGTTATTTTTATATCCATTTTATAGATAAGAAAAGACTCCTGGTGTGCCACTGTAGGATCAGCACAGCATTGGACTGTAAACCACAAGGTCGGCAGTTCAAATCCACCAGCTGCTTCTTGGAAACCCAGTACAGAATCGCTATGAGTCAGAACCAACTTGACAGCGCTTAGCAACAGCAATATAGATTTAAAAAACTAAGGCTCCAAGAAGTTCAGCCACATGGACAACAAGTAAGTGGAAGGAACGAAAATGTAACTGCAGTCTGTATTATTCTTAAACTTCAGCTTTCAACCATGATGTGTCTCTTGAGGTCAAAGTTCTTTGAGATGAGAAGCTCTGCTGCTAAATCATGGACTGTTTGACTCTCTCAGGTGTCCCTATTACACCATCCTCTGGTTTTCCATCTTGTCTAACACTTCCCATTTTCTTCTTCCCACTCCCTGAGGTGTGAGCTCTCTGTAATTGTTGGTCCCTCTCTCCAAACCAGTATATAATTTTCTTATTTGGAAGCACTGCAGATGTTTTAAAAAGCAATCATAAAATACAAATTTGTCCTGGCTTTGCAGAGAATCACCT